CCTCCTGTCACAGCAAGTTACAGGACCACGAAGGTCCTCCGAAGCCGCCGAGCCGTACCCAGGAAGTTCTAAGGACCACGAGTGTCCTCCAGCCGAAGAAGTCATAGGATCACGAGAATCCTCCCACTAAACAAGTATACGGGACTACGAAGGTCCTCCAGTCAAGATAAGCCAGGACAAGCCACTAGTGCTCCACAGGGTAAGCACATCCAAACGTCAACGTACTAACCAAAAGCCCTCAGTTTCTAGGCCCCATTTCACATTTTCACCTCACTTGCATTCCCGTCACCCCATCCTACCTCACCCGCACACACACTCACACATCCCTACGTATTCGCGTGTTAGTGGACAGTTGATCAGAGAAAGGTTTTGGTGTTTATTCCTTGGTGAAACTACAAACCACCATCCATCCGAACTCGGCAAAGCCTCTGTCGGAAAAGAAGGAAAACCCACACGCTTTGCGGCAGGTGCAATTATAGCGTAGGAATTTGATACACACAGGCCACAACCCCTCCACACAAAACAAATTTCTGGTTTTCTCGACCTACATCGAAAACCGCTGCCTACTATCAAACCCCGACGAGCACGACATCAACAAAACCAGTGGAGCCCACCGCGAGGGGGGTCGAAGATCAAATCACGAGCAGTGCACCCCGAATACAATCAGGATCCTACCCACAGCCACCTGATCAAGCTCCCACTGACACCCACATACCCTCATATTGGATTACGTCTTTCCCCATCAAGGCCCATCAAGAATGTCAACTCACTACCACGGATCCCCACCGTCAAGCCCGCCATTCACCAACAGCGACTTCACTGGATTTGGATCGTCCCGGTCAGTCATGGACATGCCCGTAGAAGGAACCAAGCTCGCCCCAAGGATCTTCAAGGGAGACCCAGCGGATGTTGAGGTCTTCCTCCGTAGGTTTGAACGACTCGCCATGCGTCATAGCCTGACTGAACAGGAAAGATGTGAGACTGTAGTCGACTATTGCAGCAAGGTGGTCCGTGAAACCATTGAAGGTTTTGCCGCCTACCGTCAGAACGATTGGGCCCAGCTCAAAGCCAACATCAGAATCTACTGGAATGCGGACCTGGAATCAAAGCGCTTCCGCATCCGTGACCTGCAGGCCTTTACTGCCCGGACCAGAAAGGAAGCTATCCTCGAGCTACGTCAGTGGCGTAGGTACCTCAGAAGGTTCATCCGCATTGCCGGCTGGTTGCTGGGCCAGAAAAAGCTCTCAGACACCGATTACGCATATTTCATGTGGACAGGCCTACCATCGTCTTTCAGAAGAAGACTGGAAGCCCGCCTACTTTTGGAAGACCCACACCATGACATGTCCGAGCCGTTCAACCCAGATAATATCAGGAATGCTGCTGAGGCGCTCCTTGGTGTTGACAGGTTTGACACGGAACGACTAGGGACAGAAGATTGGTCCGAAGAAGACACCGAGGATGACTTTGATGACAAACAGGAGGCCCGCAACCGAGCCCTCCTCCAAGGAAAGAAGACGCGCCGAAAAGAAGAGTCATGGAAAAGACTCTTTGAAGAAGATACCGATGAAAGCGACACTGAAGAACTTCTCCCGCCAAGACAGGAGGAGCCCCGAACCCAGGACCACCCAAAGACACCTGAGCCACGAGGCAAGAAGGCTACCAAGCAGAAATACGATGAGGACCAGGAGTTTACCCAGATGGTAGACAAGATGCAGCAGCTGTCACTCGATGACCCACAGTATGGTTTCCTGTATCTAAAGGTCTGCCAGCTTCGACCATTTGCAGAACAGTGCCTCCCAAAGCCAGTCTTAGCACCAAAGCCAGCACCAAGACGGGACCCACCAAGAGACTCACCGCCACACATTCTCCGGCCAGATCCTGGACGATTTCAGCAAGATCGTTACCGACAGAACCCCCCACCGCCAATGAACAGTAACTGCTTTGGATGCGGAGAGGCTGGTCACATGTTCCGTGAGTGCCCTTCCATGGCCGACTTTATGAAGAAGGGTCATGTCATGAGGGATTATCGCGGACGATACATCCGCAGTGATGGGTCACCCATTCGACGCAATCAGGATGAGACATGGGTACAAGCAATCCGTCGCATGATCCCAGGAGTTCACTTCATCTCGTATGGTGGACGTATCAATCCTGAGGACGAGGAACCGCTTCTACAGGCTGAAGAAGATGGAGAAGAAGAGGAAGAAGAAACCGCAGATGTCATGGTCTACCCAGTCGAACGGTCTCAGCGTGAGACCAGAAGCTACCGAAGGCAGGCATTTGATGGAGTCAAGACTCCGCAGATGGATAAAACCAAGCAAAAGGACCAACCAAGAAATCTGCAGCCAGCCATCCAAGGACCCACTCGATTCCCCATGCAACGGCTCACCCCTGTTGAAACACAGCAGCCCACGTTCAACCCAAACAATGATATTGAGATGGTAGAAGACCGGACCCAGACCCACCGAGCAAGACAGTCACCTCCTCAGTCACGGGTCCAGTCTCAGCCTCAACCCCAACCACAGATGACCCTGAAGCAACCACAACAACAGCAGTTGGAGCGTATCAAGCCGCCGCCTCGCCTGTCTCAGCTGAGCAAGGAGGTGAGTTCTGACACCATCCTGAACAAGATCCTTGACTCTACACTAAGCATGACCGTACGCGAAGTGGTAGGCGTCTCGAAAGATGTTGCAGGACGACTCCAGGACATCCTGAAAGTCCGGAAGGCAGAGTTTGTACAGCTACCAGCCACAAACCTAGTCACTGCTCACACCGGAGCCCTCATCCGTGTAGAAGTCGAGTGTAACCACAAACCAGTCTCGTTCATTGTCGACACGGGTTCCCAGTTGAACATCATCAGTGAGAAGGTATGCAAGAACATCATTCGTCGGCCAATTAACACGAATGAAGCCATCTCAATGAACGACGCGAACGGAGGATCAGGAAGGCTGCTCGGACTCATTGAAAACGTACCCATCCAGTTTGGATTTGTCAAAACACCGATCAATGCCTACGTAGCAGAAAACCCACCATTTGATGGACTACTGGGAAGGCCCTGGCAGAAGGCTCACAAGATTGGAATTGAGGAACGAGACGATGGAACATACCTCACCTTCCCAAACAAGGCAGGTTACCAGAAGTATGAGCTTCTAGTACTGTCCTCGCCCGATACTCTGTCTATGCCTGGAGTTTACTCTGCCATCGTACAAGAGTGGACCCCTGAACATGCTATCACATCCACTATCCCAGCTGACGACATGGAAATCTTTGGACGAATTGAGGAGGTCCCTTCTGAAGCCGAAGAAGATACCCCAGGAGAAGAAGAGGAGCACCCAGAGACTAGCCCGGACGAAGAAGACATGAGCAGCCAGGAAGAACCTCATCCCGAGGACAGTGAGAACAGTGACGATGACGACAACGAAGAAGACCCCCACAGCGGCGACGATAGCCTGGACCGCGCACTATCATTCATGAACTACCGTAACCGTATCGAGGAAGAAGAGCGGGCAGAACGCACCTCATACCACACCATCCGAAGCGTCCTTCAGAAGGAAACCCCAGACACACCGCCAGTCCGGGTAGGATCGTGTACCATCATGAGTGATACAACTGTGGAGTTTGCGAACAGTGTAGAAGGACTTGATCACCGAATCTTCCTGCTGCGTGACGCCAAGTTGCTTACCAGAGGAGGGGGATGTTATGGACACGCCATCGTCAAAATTATCCCGTACACGGACGCCAACCTATCACTGTTCACCCGCGAGCTAGATCCACTGCTGCCCACTGCTGCATCGATATCGGTAGTCCGGCCAAAAACTAGCATTCCAACAGTAGCAAAAGGAAACCAGGACTCCACCCTTTGATCAAGATCCCGATCCACATCAAAGGCAAGACAGTCATGTTCCTGCTCGATACAGGCGCGCAAGTGAATTGTATACGAGATGATATATGGAAGTACCTCGGGGGAGTCAACAACGCACCCCTGACATATCCATACATTGCGAATGCCACTGGAGACCATCTCAGGTGCATAGGAACTTGGAGGACCGGGGTTCTATTCGGAACTGTATTCATGGAAATGGACTTACTCGTTGTCGAAGGTCTCACCTCCCCAGGAATTTTAGGACGACCATGGCAGAAGCAGGGACAGTTGTGGACAGAGGAGACACATGAAGGAACGTACCTTGGAATCACCTCTGAAGACGGAGGCAACAGCTATGGAATGTATCTTGCAGCACCCGAAACCCAGCTGCCAATCCATGACATGCCAGCTGTGGCAGCTGCCAGCGCACCTGAAGAGGAGCACATCCCGGAAATGCATTTCTCGGAAACGCATAAGCTCAAGGCCTATACGGAACCCATTGAATTAGCCGAAGAAAGCAAAAAGGAGACAACACCAGAGCCATCACTTGTAGACAAAATTGGGATGACATTTGTCAACCACCCGAAGGTCATCCAGTATGGCAACAGACGACAGGAGCAGATCTGGTACGAGCAGCTCTTGTTTCTGTTCCGCCGAACCTACCGACACCCAGTCTCGCGAGTACAACCTGTGCTCACCAACCTGACCTTTGCGCAGGCGGAGAAACTAGATCTCCGGAAGACATGGAGAACCAAGGTTACCTGGGAGGAGGAAATGTTCCTGTTGCGCAACATAAGCGTAAAAAGAGGAGACCGAGTTCGTCGAGGACATGCAGTACTCCAACTCGTCTACTTCCCAGATGAAGAAGAGCGAATATCTATGACCCCGTTCTCATCACTCAGTGGGACCCTGTCAGAAGCATCAACCGCAACCTACCGCAAGCGCAAACGAGCACCCCCCACTCAAGAAGACTTGGAGCGCTCTATGGAAGAAGTTGGTCTCGAACTACTACAGGACCGCATCGCATATGAAGCACTAGAACGACCATGGGCCGACCGAGATGACCGGCTTCGACGCGATGATGAAATCGCTAACCTACGAACGAACTCACCAGCCAGCGAGGATGAGGGACGTTAGGACTCAAACGTGACCAAGCATGAGAACCAACCGCACCCAGGACACCACGGACACACGCAAGGACAACCACATCGTAGTGCCAAGAACCGGAAACACCCGAACCAAGATCGCACACCGTACCACAGCAAGAGTGGGGAACCCGTTACAATTCCGCACTACACAGAGACAGAACACCCGCACACTGTATTAACAATCGTTATAGGGATCCGAAACTCGACGTCCGACCACGGCGTAATATTGGGTTTTCGTTTTTTAGGACATCTAGAAGACGTAAGTCAGACAAGAGACCGAGCGAGACCAGTATAAACACGTGCGTACTAGGGGACAAGACACCGAAACAAAAAGGACC